GGAGGGCCGTTCGTGGGCGTGGCCGGTGGCAAATCTGTGCTTAGCACCCACCAGCCCGGGATCCCCACGGGAGGGCGTGGTCGGTGGCAGATCGGTGCATTAGCACCCGCCAGCCTTGGATCCCCACAGGAGGGCCGTTTGTGGGCGTGGCTGGTGGTGGATGGGTGCATTAGCACCTGCCAGCCTCGGATCCCTGCGGGAGGGCCATTTGTAGGCATGGCCTGTGGCGGATTGCTGTGGTCTCGCCCGCCAGTCCTGGGTCAGGTCCCATACGGGCCACCTGCCGCCTGGGTTGCAGATAGCAGGCCCGGATGGCAACGGGGCAGGCAGGATGGCACTGTCCCGCCCTGCCTGCAGTATGCAAATTAGCCGCCATCTTGGTTGGCAGTTAACTTGCATATCATCCTGATTAGCCAATGGGAAGCGTATCGGAGGTATGGTTAATTACCCTACTTGTCTTTTATTAGGATGAATGGGTTACCAACAAGATCAAAAAAGAAATAAAAAACTTCCTAGAAACCAATGAAAATGAGCACACAACAACCCAAAATCTCTGGGACACAGTGAAAGCAGTCCTGAGAGGGAAGTTCATAGCACTACAGGCCTACCTTAAAAAACACGAAAAATCAACAATGAACTATTTAGCCCTACATCTTAAAGAACTAGAAAGAGGACAATAAGAAAAGCCCAGAGTAAGTAGAAGGAAGGAAATAATAAAGATTAGAGCAGAAATAAATAATATGAAGAGTAAAAAAAAAACACAAATAAAAAAATCAATGAAACCAAGAACTGGTTCTTTGAAAAGATAAACAAAATTGATGAACTGTTAGTCAAACTCATCTAGAAACAGAGAGAGAGGACCCAAATAAATAAAATCAGAAACGGAAGCAGAGAAGTAACCACTGACACCACAGAAATACAAAGGATTGTAAGAAAATACTATGAACAGCTATATGCCAACGAGCTGGACAATGTAGATAAAATGGACAAAGTATTAGAAAAATACAATCTCCCAAAACTGAATCAGGAAGAATCAGAATACCTGATTGGTCCAATAACAACTGATGAAATAGAAGCAGTAATCAAAAAACTCCCAGCAAATAAAAGCCCAGGTCCAGACAGCTTCACAGGGGAGTTTTACCAAACATTCAAAGAAGAACTAACACTATACTCCTCACTCTTCCAAAAAATCCAAGAAGAAGGAACACTTCCAAACTCTTTTTATGAGGCCAGCATTATCCTAATTCCAAAACCAGATAAAGATACTACAAAGAAAGAGAATTACAGGCCAATATTCTTGATGAACATAGATGCTAAAATCCTCAACAAAATATTAGCAAATTGGATCCAGCCATACATTAAAAAGACCATGACCAAGTGGGATTTAATCCAGGGATGCAAGGCTGGTACAACAGTCACAAATCAATAAACGGGATACCTCACATAAAGAAATTGAAAGGCAAAAATCACATGATCACATTAATAGATGCAGAAAAAGCATCTGACAAAATCCAACACCCATTTTTTATAAGAACTCTCAGCAAGTCGGAATAGAGGGAGCATATCTCAACATGATAAAGGCCATATATGATAATACTACAGCCAACATCATACTCAGTGGGCAAAAACTAAAACCATTTCCCCTAAGAACAGGAATAGGAAAGGGATGTCCACTCTTATTCAACATAGTATGGAAGTCCTAGCCACAGTGATGAGATAAGAAATAAAAGGCATCCAAATGGGAAAGGAGAAAGTGAAACTGTCATTATTCACAAATGACATGAATACATAGAAAAACCTAAAGACTCCACCAAAAAACTACTAAATTTAATACATGAATTTGGCAATGTAGCAGGATACAAAATCAACACCCAAAAATTGATGGCATTTTTATATACCAACTAGAGGCCCAGTGCATGAAATTTGTGCACAGATAGGATCCCTAGGCCTGGCAGGCGATCAGGGCCAATTGGGGCCTTCTAGCTGCTGGCTGGGCCTTCCTTCATTCCACGCCCCACCCATGGTCAGCATACGTCAAGCAAGTGATTGAACTCCCGGTCTCCCAGTCAAACTCCTGAGGGAACACTTTGCATATTAGCCTTTTATAGATAGGAGATATGAATTCTCAGAAATAGAAAGTAAATAAGCAACCCCATTTACCATTGCAACAAAAAAAATTAAATACGTAGGAATAAACTTAACCAAAGAGGCAAAAGATCTGTATTCAGAAAACAGATCTTTTTTCAAGAGGTTGAAAAAAGAGAAAGAAAAAGATATAAACAAGTGGAAGAATATACTGTGTTCATGGATTGGTAGAATCAACATCATTAAGATGTCCATACTACCCAAGGCAATCCACAGATTTAATGCCATCCCCATTAAAATACCAACAGCATATTTCACAGATTTAGAACAAATACTCCAAAAATTTATATGGAGCCAAAACAGATCCCAAATAGTTGTAGCAATTTTGAGAAAGAAGGACAAAGTTGGAGGAATCACAATACCAAATTTCAAGTTAAACTACAAAGCCACCTTAATCATAACAGCCTGGTACTGGCACAAGAACAGGCATATAGATCAAATAGAGGCCCAGTGCATGAAATTTGTGCACTGGTAGGGTCTAGCAGCTGCCAGCTACCATCGGGTACAACCTCTCTTCCCCTGGCCGGCCCCGCCCCCTGGTCATCATACTCCCAGAAAAACTTCTGGTCAGGGGGATAATTTGCATACTATACTTTTATTATATAGGTTGGAATAGAAGAGAGACCCCAGAAATTGACCCAAGCCAATATGCTCAATTAATATTTGACTAAGGAGGCAAGAGCATACAATGGAGTCAAGGCAGTCTCTTCAATAAATGGTGCTGGGAAAATTGGACAGATACTGGCAAAAAAATGAAACTAGACACCATCTTACACCATACATAAGAATAAGCTCAAAATTAATAAAAGACTTAAATGTAAGTCATGAAGCCATAAAAACCCTAGAAGAAATAATAGGCAACAAAATCTCAGACATCTCTCATAGCAATATGTTTACGGTATAGCTCCTAGGGCAAAGGAAACTAAGGATAAAATAAACAAATGGGACTACATCAAAATATAAAGCTTCTGAACAGCAAAAGAAACCACCAACAAAACAAAAAAGGAGCCCACTGTATGGGAGAACACATTTGGCAATGATACATCTGATAAAGGGTTAATATCAAAAATATATAAGAAAGTCATACAACTTAACAGAAGGAAGACAAACAACCCAATGAAAAAATGGGCAAAGGACCTAATAGACACTTCTCCAAAGAGGACACACAGAAGGCCAAGAGACATATGAAAAATGCTCAGTCACTGATCAGCAGAGAGATGCAAATTAAAACCACAATGAGATATCACCTCACACCTGTCAGAATGGCTACCATCAACAAATCAACAAGGGACAAGTGCTGGCGAGGATGTGGTGAGAAGGGAACCCTAGTACACTGCTGGTGGGAATGCAGACTGCTGAAGCCATTATGGAAAACAGTATGGAGTTCCCTCAAAAAATTAAAGATGGAACTTCCATTTGACCCAGTGATTCCACTTCCAGGAATATATCATAAGAAACCCGAAACACCAATCAGAAAGAATATATGCACCCCTATGTTCATTTATACTAATGAAAGGGTAACATACTAATTAGACCAGGTTGACCAGACATCTTCTGGTTGTCAGTCCTCCTTCCGGACAAAGCCATGGTGGCGGGGTCCAAGGCAGAGGCAGTTAGGGGCGATCAGGCCAGCAGGGGAGCAGTTAGGGGCGATCAGGCCAGCAGGGGAGCAGTTAGGGGCGATCAGGTCAGCAGGGGAGGGCAATCAGGTGTGATCAGGCCGGCAGGGGAGGGTGGTTAGGGGCGATCGGGCCATAGGAGAGGGCGGTTAGGGGCGATTAGGCAGGCAGGCAGAGGGGTTAGGGGGTGATCAGATAGGCAGGCAGGCAGGTGAGTGGTTAGGAGCCAGCGGTCTAAACCGGCAGTCAGACATCCCCCTAGGGTGCCCGGATTGGAGAGGGTGCAGGCCAGGCTGAGGGACCCCTGCTCCATGCACAAATTTTGTGCAATGGGCCTCTAGTAGCAGCATAATTTACAATAGCTAAGATCTGGAAACAGCCCAAGTGCCCATCAGTAGATGAGTGGATAAAAAGCTGTAGTACATTTACACATGGAATACTATGCAGCAGTAAAATAGAAGAATCTCTTACCCTGTGAGACAGCATGGAGGGATCTGGAGAGTATCATGCTAAGTGAAGTAAGTCAGTCAGAGAAAGACAAGTGTCACATGATCTCACTCTTATGTGGAATCTAAGTAACAAAATAAACTGATGAATGGAGTGGACCCAGAGACATGGAAGCCTGGAACAGAGTGCAGAGTCTTTGAGGGAAAGTCGGGGAGGGTGGGTGGGTGGGAGGTAATCAACCAAGGACATTGTATGCATATATGCATGGCCCATGGACACAGACAATGGGGCGGTGAGGGCCTGGGATGGGCTGGAGGGGATCTATGGGGGGAAAAGAGGACATATGTAATTCTTTCAAAAATAAAGCATTTTTTTTTTTTTTTTAAAAAAAAGGACTCCACTAGAAAGGGAACAAATGCAGCAGGTGGGTTTGCCACAGGTATCAGACATCAGCTTGCAGGACACACCTGCCACAGGAGTACAAATGCCACGCGCCCGTCCTCCTGAGTCAGGACACTGCCTGGGACACATCTGCTGAGGACACAGGGACAGGACCCTGAGGACATAAGTAACTAAAGCCTTTATGTAAGGCAAATGGGGGCGTCTACATTTACCCCGATCCAGCAAGTTCGCTTCCAGAAATGATTATAAGGACATAATTATGACTTAATGCAGAACTTACCCCCTGGGTGTCTTCCCAAGCCTCAAAGTCTATGTTACAAAATTTCCCCAATGCCTCTAACACTAACATGTCATTGCTTTGCAGTGGTTGGGGCCTGGTATGCATACCTTCCTTTCTCGGTATCTTCTTTCTCTCTCTTCATCTCCTCTTTCAGAGTTCTCATCTCTCCTCTCATTCTCGTCAGTTCTTACTTTACTTACTATAAAAAGAAAACATACTTTTATTGTTTGTTTTTTGTTGTTAATCTTCACCAGAGGACATTTTTCCATTGATTTTTTTAGAGAGAGTGGAATCGAGAGGGAGAGACAGAGAGAGGAACATCAATGTCGATCGGTTGCCTCCCGCATGCGTCCCAACCAGGGCCAGGGATTGAGCCTGCAACCGAGGTACGTGCCCTTGACTGGAATCAAACCCAGAACCCTTCAATCCACAGGCCGACGCTCTATCCACTGAGCCAAACTGGAGAGGGCAAGAAAACATACTTTGAACATTCCCAAACTTCAGACATCTTGCTGCAGTCTTTGTAAATACTGCATTACAAAATTATGTATTAACACGTGAAAACATATTCTTCTATTAGACCACATTCTACAATCTCAAGAATGGAAAGTCCTGGAATCTAAACTAAAAATGAATCTCGGAGAGGCAACAGGGGTGGGTGGGTGGCTAGGAAGAGATTAACCAAAGACCTTGTATGCACATGTGCATACCCCCTGGACACAGACATAGTGCGGGGAAGGCCGGAGGAGGGGTGGGGGGGCTACAAGCGGTCAATGGGGAAGGAAGGGGGACATCTGTAACACTTTCAACAATAAAGATAAATTAAAAATTAAAAAATCACATACAAAAATGGAATAAAGGAGACAACAGTGGCACCTGCTAAGGAGGCAGCCTGGCAGGTGCAGCCTCGCTGCTGGAACTCAGAGGCACCGGCCCAACGCACGCACCTTCCAGCCCTGTGTCGCCAACAGAGGTGCTGGGGCAGCACAGCGTCCAGAAAAACACCCGCTGGGCGGACATTCCCGCCAGTGCTCAGCTGCAAGAGAGTCAATGCGACCTCTGGACGAGTGGAGGAGGACGCCACCTACAGCCGGTCACTGCCCCCCCACCCGTGAGAGGCCAGAGAGACGGGCAGAGCCCCACACACCCGGTGACAACACACACAGCTCCCTCCAATAGTGAAAAACTAGACTTTCACTTTTGAATCTGCCAAGACAAAAGTCATTAGGCTTAAAATGAAGAGAATCAACATTTTCAACGATAAGGACAAAATTAAACATTCGGACAAACTGGTAAATATTGCTTAAAATAAAACTGATACTTCTGAGAAACTCCTTTACCAAAGAGCATAATGTTTGTTTATCTAGAATGTGGATTGAGATTTACGAAGATAATTAATCGGGAATGTTTCAATAGTAAAGCTCTAGCACAGGAGAAAATCGTTACTCCTTTCATTCACTGAAATGAGTTCTAAAATACCCAAAAGGCAACCATCTTGCAAAGCACACAGTTCAGCAGGGGCACAACCGAACGCAAAGCCAGGGCGAGGCCGACGTGGGGAGTGAGCCCCGCAGAGGGGCTCGCCCACATGCCTGGCCCCGGGACGGCCACAGCCCAGACACGCACCTGACCGCATCCTGTGCTCAGGCCAGTGGTGCCTGGCCGCCGGCTTGGGCTCCTCCCTCCGCACCCGGTGCTCTCCCTCACGCTCCCGGCCCCGCTCCCGGTCTTTGCCTCGGCTCTGGTGCTTCTCTGTGTCATGCTCTCGGGCCTTGTCCCTCAGCTTCTCTCTGTCCAGGTCCCGGGCGTCCCTTCTCCTCTCCCGTGGCTTCTCCTTGTCTCTGTCCCCACGAGGATGCTCCCTGGAGCCATGGCGGTCTCTGTCTGCCACCCTCTCCCTGCGCTTGGCATCCCGGTCTGGGTCCCTGGGCTTCTGCTCCTTGGACTCTGGGGCATCCGTTTCCAAGTCCTTATGTAGCTTCTTTTCCTTGTGTTTCTTATCTTCTCTAGGAAGTGTCGACTGTGCAGCCAAAGCAAGAAAAGGAAGGGTTTTCTGAGCGTGACAGCCTCCAAGCCACCAGCTGCCACGTGTCCTGCTCTCCGCCAGCAGGAAGGGCAGGAGAAGCCCCCACAGCCACAGAGGTGTCACACTTCACATTTCTATGACTGCAGACCAGCGCCCACTTGGGAGACACAGTCCCATGTGTTGTCAAGTCAAACCTAAAACACTACCCAGATTAGAAAGAAACAGGATACTGAAGGGGAAAAAAAGAAATAGCAGAATAAATATGCAAATCAATGACTAAATGGCACACAGGAGTGGCTTGTGGAAGCCCTGAGGTGAGCCTTGAGAACTCACAGCTTCTTTCAGTTTAGATTTTCATAAAGAAAAAAACACATAGAGAACAAGGTACTGAAGCTGTGTCAGTCTCTGAGACTAGGCCCATCCAGGTCCTACTCAAGAACAAGGACCTTCCTTATAAAACTCTCAGGGGATCTCTCTCAATCCCCAAGCCTCTCTCCACGCATGTACACACACACACACACACACACACACACACAGACACGCACAATGCACACACCACACATGTACACACACAGCCTAGGCTCTGAACCATGAAAGAAGCCAGAGTTGGTGACATGCAGGCTGGGCTAGGAAACCCTTTCCCACCACAGACCCAGAGCTACTAACCACATGAGTCGAGAACACCCCTGAAATGAGACCACGTGGGAGCAAAGTTGTGTAGGGCTGAGAACCAGGAGAAACTCTCCAATCAGACCCCAGCTCAAATCTTTGAAATACATTTACCCAAAGGTGTTTTCGGAGGTCATCTGCTGTCCATGTTTCATCTTTGGTTCTTCTCTAAAAAGCAAAGTATAAAGTTGGAATTTTCCAAGTTTAAAATAATCATTTGGCAAGCTCTAGTAAGCTGCTTTTCATAAGGCCATTCTAGTCAATGGCAATTAGCCCTGAATACGCAAGAATTTACTGTCTATCGACCAGAATAAATGGTAACAGATATACAGATTTTTAAAAAGTATTCACTAGTCTAAAATGACCTATAAATTATTACGGAATGTGTTTCTTTGGCTACTTCACAACATAAATGTCCATTCTGCCTCAAGGCTCTGCGTAAGCATAGGCAACACAGTCCCCCCTTTTCCCGGCCCTCTGCGGCCTGTCAGTGCAGTCCCAACACTCAGAAAGCTTACTTTAAGGAGGCTGGTGCTTCATTCATAAATATGAAGGGTCAGGCAGGCATTTAAGAAAAACCAACATCAGAAAGAGAAGAGTCACCCTGGCCGGTGGCTCAGTTGGTGAGACTATTGTCCTGTACACCAACAGGTTTCGGGTTCGATTCCCCATCAGGGCACATACCGAGGCTGCGGGTTTCCTCCCTGGCCCTGGCGTGGCAACCTATCAATGTTTTTCATTGATGTTCTCTCTCTCTCCCTTCCTCTCTCTCTAAATTCAATAAAAGCATATCCTTAGCGGGGATTTTAAAAAGAGAGAGAAAAGAATCAAGACAAACAAATAGAGAAAATGACTCAAGAAAATGAACAGAAGTATTTATTTTATTTTTGTAAAGGCATAAGAGTTATATCCTCTGGAAGATATTAAAAATCTTTTAAGCACAAATTAAAACATGCTACAAAAGAAGCAATATGAGAACAAGAATTCTTAATATTAAATGTAACAAACTAAAACATTTACGTAAATAAAGCTAACGATAAAGCTGGAGAAATCCCCCTAATATATCTATATTTTTAAAAAGGCAAAGAGATGGGAAATACAAGCCGCCAGTCCAACACTTAACGAGAGACTGAATCAGAGTTCTAGAGAGGACGGAGGGAAAAAAAAGGGAGTGGGGGGGGGGGGGGGGAGAGAGAGAGAGAGAGATCCCCGAACTGAAGGTAAACGAGAGCTTTCCTTTTGAAAGTGATCATGAAATGTCAACAACAATGACATTCTCGGCCCATCACACGTAGGTCTGCAGTGGATCCTGCGCATGTAATCATATAACATGATTGGTTTTCAGATTTAAAAATCAACCTACTAACAAATCACCTTACGCTACAGGATAACTTAAGAAAAGGAGAGGGAAAAGGACAGAAGACGGAGGTCGGGGAGCCTGTGCACGTTAGGCGCTGGGTAAAAGGAGGCGGTAAACCGCACACGGACCCCGGCCCATCCGAGTCCCCGAGGCTAAGCGGTCACGGGAGTCCGGCCCGAGCCCAGGGCCGCCGGGTGCCGGGACACTGGGGAGCCTGGGCCACCTAACCAAGGTCCGCGAACTCCCCAGAGCCCGTGCGCACCCACCTTCCCCGGCTCCATCGCCGCTCGCAGGGGCGTCGCCGACTCCTAGCAACCAGCGCGCGGCGACCCGAGCGCCAGCTACCGTTGGCCGGCCTGCGCCGCGGCCTCCCCAGCGCGCATGCGCGACGCGGCTCCGGGCCACCGGGAGGCGCGAGCAGCAGAGCGCAGAGCGATCGCTGGCTGGGCCCGCCCCGGCCTGTGGCGGCGGTCAGATGCCCGAGGACGCGGGGCCGACCCCGCTGCGGGGCCGGCAGGAGCGGGGCGAAAAGGGAAAAAGGAGGCTCGGCTGCCGGGTCAGCTGCCGCGTCACCGGCTCCACTGAGCCGGGTGGCCCCTGGGTCGTCGGAGGCCCGGCCTGGCTCCCGGAAAGGCGGTGTGTCCGGGCCGGGGAACGCCGGGCCTCACTGGTCTGCCGTCCGTGATGGAAAGGGCCTTTCATCTGGATAAGGCTTCGCACTTTACAGACCGTTTCTCCGTGTGTTGTCACTTGATAAAACACTTGTAAGAATGGCAGGAGTCGATGCATTTGAAAAAGCAGTCGTGAAAGGATGACTTTTCATGCGACACGAGAGGTGAGAGCTGAATCCTGAAGGCGAGTGGCCTGCCTCTCGGGTTGATTCTCTCGTGCGGGACGGGGCGGGGCGGGTCCCACTCCTGTGAGGGGCCACGTAACGCACACCCAGCTGTTCCAAACGCTGTTTTCCACTTGTTTAGTATACAAATGATGCTTACAAAATATTACACTTAATGTTCACACACACACACACACACACGCACGCACGCACACACATACACACGCACACGCACACTCACACACGCGGGCACACACACTCACACACACGCACACACACTCACACACGCGCGCGCACGCGCACACTCACACACTCACACGCGCGCGCAAGCGCGCACACACGCACACTCGCATACTCGCACACACGCACACACACGCACACACACATATATACACACGCACACTCACACACGCGCGCACACACGCACACACATATACACACACTCACACACACATATACACACACGCACGCACACACACGCACACACACACACACACGCGCGCACACACACGCACGCACGCACACACACGCACACACACACACACACGCACGCACACACACGCGCGCGCACGCGCGAGTCAGTTCTTGCCCTGGCCGGGCAGGTGACGGGCAGAGCAGGGTGCAGACACTCGAAGTTTGGGCTCAGTCCCCGCTCAGGGCACACACCAGAAGCAGCCATGAATGCATGAAGAAGTAGGACAACAAATCGATGTTTCTCTCATCTCCTTCCTCTGTCTCTAAAATCCATAAATAAAAATGTTAAAAAAGAGTAAACTTGAAAATCATGTGTTAAGCAATACTTCAGTCTGTACTTTTGATATGGTTTTTCTATAGATACAAATTTTATTTTTCAGACATTGTATTTTTTAGTTATATACTATTATGAACCGGTTTACAGTTTTATGGACCCATCTATGTGTTCCAGATACAAAGGCCGTTTACTCAGTCCCTTGCCTTAGACAAAGTAACAGATCCATTAAGCTTTTTGTATTTAATTATACTCTGGTTTTTAACATACCACTCCTACCTTTTTCATTTCTACTCATCCGCACTTAAGAAAGAACATAGAAGGAAGTTAGGAAAGGTAATCTTGGTGATAGCTATGATTTATTCAGGGACTGCTCCAAGTGAGGCATTTAGTAATTCATTTAGTTCTCCTAGCATCCCGCAGGAGCTAGGCATGTTACAGCTTTTCAGAGGAGAAGTCTGAGGACCAGAAAGGTTAATTTGCTTGCCTGAGGGCACACAGCTAGGGTGGTGGGTGATCTGACGCTGAATCATTCTCTTTACCACTGTGTCCTTCCGTCAACAAGAAAACAGTGGATATTGTTTCCACCTACACCCATACTGCAAGAATGACCCTCCTCCCTCACCTCCCAAGTGCAATCACTAACTCTTGTCAAGATAATATGTCTTTGTCAATATTTTTTCATTCTAGCCCCTACCAATCCATTCTGCATTGCAGCCAGTCATCTAGCACATGAATCTCATGGCCCTCCCTGCCTCTATCTTTTTCATCACCAAACAGTCACCCAAATGCACCATATTCACAGGCTTTGCAAATGCTAGTTCCTCTTTCTCACTATCTCCCCCGTGTTTGCAAAATAAATGCCTATAGATGAAGATAAAACAATGTTTCCTCAGACTTCTTAAAACAATTATTTTCTAAATAACTCACTTGCCAATCAAATATTACATTTTATCTTGTAATATTATCTTTATTCAGGGGATACCTTACTGAGTTCATGTGATGATGTGGGACTATAGAGTGCTAGAGATAGCTAAAATACAGTCTGGGCCTCCAGGAGCTTGTAATTACTAGGAGAGAGAAATATGCACACAACTACCAAATAATCTGAATGAGAGTCAGAGTGGCTTGCACCTCTACAATGAAACCTCTGTAAGGGTATAGGGGATGCAGCTGGGACAGGGAGAGGTAGACAAGATGGACAGAACAATTGATCAGGCCCAGATCTACCAGATCTAGGCAGGAGGGGATCTACAACAAAGTGGAAAGAATTGAACTTAAACAGAAGGCAGCACTTTTAAAAATATATTAAAAATATACATCTATTTTTTATTGATTTCAGAGAGGAAGGGAAAGGGAGAGAGATAGAAACACCAATGATGAGAGAGAAGCATTGAACGGCTGCCTCCTGCATGCCTCCTTCTGGGGATCGAGCCCGCAACCCGGGCATAAGCCCTTGACTAGATTTGAACCCAGGACCCTTCAGTCCAGAGGCCGACACTCTGTCCACTGAACCAAACCAGCTGGGGCCAGAAGGCAGCACTTTAATCTGAAACCAGAAAGGATGAGAGCAGAGGCTGAACTTCACAGCTTGTTGGTGGTGGTGGTGGTAATCCTCACCCAAGGATATTTTTTCCATTGATTTTTTTTTTTTTATTTTTAGAGAGAGTGGAAAAGGGGGAAAGAGACACAGAGAGAAACATTGCTGTGAGAGACACACATTGATTGGTTGCCTCCCACAGGGCCCAGGCCCGGGGATAGAGCCTGCAACCGAGGTACCTGCTCTTGACTGGAATTGAACACACGACCCTTCGTTCTGTGGGCGTACGCCCTAACAACTGAGCCAACCCAGCGAGGGCCACAGTTTTGTTCTAGAACATGCACAGTGATGCTCCCCTTTCCTCTGAGAAACCAGAGCCTTTCATTGGAAAACTTTGCAAAAAGAGAAGGAAAGAGGTAACATGAAGGTCATGGAGATTGAGGCGTATAAGGAATAAAATACTAGTGAGGACCTAGGGGCTGAGCTGGGCCTGTTATTGACTCAGTGCAGACAGATGCATTCTGCCTCTGGTGTGACCACATGCAGGGACGTGGGCTCACAAAGGCAGCTGAGGCCAGGAGGCTGATGGACACTTCTCTTCGATGTATTTTACATCCCTAGGCCCCGGGTCAAAGACTTCATCACAGACGTGCAGGATTCCTTATGTGGCTTGTGTTCACACAAGTCTTATCTATAGGATGTGATTCTACAACTCTAGAGAAAAGGCTCACGCTCCTTTGTGTTAACAAGGCAATTGCTGGTGAGGCCGCAACTGAGTCATGAGTGGAGGGTGGCATCTGAGCATTAAACAGTTGCATAGGAAGAGAGTCGAGACCCACCATTTTACACATAGCGGTGAGCAAAAGTAGGTTGACAGTTTTTCATATGGAAAATAGTGCAATAATCCTATATAATAAAGAGCTAATCTGAAAATGGTCGTCATGCCCTCACATCCTCACACCATCACTCTGTAACTGCTCAGACACTCAACACTTGGGAGAGAGGAATGGGGACCAGCCAGGCACAAATGAGTTCGTGAGAGAGGAATGGGGACCAGCCAGGCTGCAGCCTGGGAGAGGGTCAAGCCGTCCGCCCATGGTCCTCTGTGGCTGCGGCCGGCCCAAGCGAAGCTGGCCCTGGTCCTGGGTGCCTGCGACCGGCTGAAGGAGGGAATCCTGGGTCTCTGGTGCAGGGCAAGGCAGAGGCAGTTAGGGGTGATCAGGCCAGCAGGGGAGCAGTTAGGGGTGATAAGGCAGGCAGGCAGAGATGGTTAGGGGCGATCAGGCAGGCAGAGGTGGTTAGGGGCAGGCAGGCAGGCGAGCGGTTAGGAGCCAGCGGTCCCAGATGGTGAGAGGCAGTCGGACATCCCCTGAGGGGTCCCAGATTGGAGAGGGTACAGGCTGGGCTGAGGGACACTCCCCCCCCCCCCGTGCACGAATTTTGTGCACCAGGCCTCTACTCTTCTATATAATAGCCTAGGTCAGTGGTCGGCAAACTCATTAGTCAACAGAGCCAAATATCAACAGTACGATTGAAATTTCTTTTAAGAGCCAAATTTTTTAAACTTAAACTATATAGGCAGCTACATTGTTATTAACTTAATTAGGGTCCTCCTAAGCTGGCCTTTGCTAAAAACGTCCTCAACCTGATTGAGGTATGTTTGCTGAGGTCGGCCCCTTCCAACTCCCCCATCCTCAACTCCTGCATGAATCGCACGAGCCTGCCCCACGCTGCGCATCCCATTGCTGGGCTGACCGACACCCCCACTTCTTCTAACGCCACTTCTTCAAAACAGACTCGCCCAGGCCGAAAACCGACTTCTGCGCATGGGCCACGAAGGTTCAGTCGCACTGTACGTGCGCCCGCACGTGGTATTTTGTGGAAGAGCCACACTCAAGGGGCCAAAGAGCCGCATGTGGCTCGCAAGCAAGCCGCAGTTTGCCGACCACTGGCCTAGGTGACCGTCGGGCCCTCCTGCTGTGATGCCCTCGTGCCCTCACAACCCATCAGCAGGAGGCTGCCTGCGCAGCGGGTGCGCGCTGGCGGGGGTGGGGGGGGTGGGGGGGTGGGGGGGTGGGGGGGGTGGGGGAGGCTGTGCGAGGAGGCAGAATAGGCCCTTGATGTCAGGGAGGGGTGGGACCTGAGCGCTTGGTGTGGAGGGAATAGGACAGGCTCCCTGGGAGGGAGCACAGAGTGGAGCTGCGAGCAGAGCTGGTTGTGTTCAGGTGCAGTGGCCTGGCTGAGAGGGAAGGGGCGAGCAGATGCTCTGAGTGCAGTCACCATGGACCACCCGGATGAGGGGCCTCCTGCCAAGGCCTGCCGCCTGAGCAGCTCGGAGCCCTCTCAAAACGAGGGGCTGCTGCTGCTGCCGCCTCCGCCGCCACCACGGCTCCTGCGACTGCCCCTGCCTCCACTGGAGCAGCGCCGAAGCTCAAAGAGGAAACGGAAGCGGCACAGGTGAGGCTGACAGGCAGGGGATGGATTGCGCCTCACTCTCCCCCGCCGCCCCCCTGTCATTCTGGAGGAGGGGGGAGCGGGCGCACTTCACCCTGGGTGCCAGGTGTTGCTACTGGGATCCTGATTTTGAGTCTGGGTGTGGGGAGGCGCCCCCTCCCGCGGAGAGCCTGGACACATTCTCTCCTGAGGAGGTTGTGGGGGGACGCCTGGAGATGGACATTCAGGTTACGGAGCCGGAGCCATAGCCCAGCGGCTTTGGTGGAGAGGCCCTAGACACCTGTAGCAGAGGGGGATGGGAGCACCAGGTGTTAGCCGGTCTACAGAGAAAGGAAGAGGCCATTATCACAGTGGAAGATGACAGAGAGGAGGTGAAGGAGAATGTGAGGAAGAAGAGGAGGAGGAGGAGGAAGCAGAGAAAGAGGCCTGGCGCTCGGGGAGCCTGCGGCTCCAGCCTACCTCTTTGGGGCATTCCATCGAGGAGCCCCAGGGTCCCAGGTCTCGCGCGATTTTGCTTGTCAGATTACTAGTTAATAAATAATAATACAAGAACAAACTGTTTCTCGTCCTCACAACTGTAGCCCTACTATTGCCCATCCCTGTATTTACAGCTTACATAATGTACTTTAGTGAAGAGCAAGAAAGGGGAAACTACTTCCTTTGTTTGAGATTTAGTCCCCTCCACTGAAGTTGAGTGTTCTAGACCCTAGAGCAGAGGTTCTCAACCTGTGGGTCGCGACCCCTTTGGCGGTCGAACGACCCTTTCACAGGGGTCGCCTAAGACCATCCTGCATATCAGATATTTACATTACACTTCATAACAGTAGCAACATTACGTTATGAAGTAGCAACGAAAATAATGTTATGGTTGGGTCACAACATGAGGAACTGTATTTAAAGGGCCAGAAGGTTGAGAGCCACTGCCCTAGAGCAAGGTTTTTATGAGAAATGTATTTATGTCTCCATAGCAACACATACACATGCACACATAATTATATACAGACTCAGATGAAGGGAGGAGAGGTTTATTCATTCAGTACTTGCTATGTCAGGCACTGTGCCAGCCTGATGATACGCTGATAACCCTAATAAATATGATTCTTGTCCTCAAGGAACTTAAAGCCTAGTGGAATTACTAATGAGACTTTGGCAAAGAGGAATGCATGCCAATGCTTCCCCCCACCTCAAATTCCATGTTAGGAAGTCTGATTCCTCCAATCTAACAGGGCTGATTGCAGCTTAGCCTTTAGTTGGCAGTCCTCTTCATCTCACACAGCAAGTGGTCTGTGGGATAGCACTGTTTTGTCCTGAAGGCGCCAGGCTTTGTCCCTGCAGCCACTGTGTAGTAATCAGGTTGTCATTCCAGAATCCCTGCAATATGGCAAGGAAGAACGCATCAATCACAAATGTAAAAACAAGCATGCTCGATTTCTCTCCTATAGCCCCTGCTCTTCCTGAAGTTGGTAATTCAAGGCTACCAGTAACAAGGTTTAAAGATTAAGAGGGTGTAAAAAACAGCCCTGTCGATACAATTTAATTAAAATTTCCTTGGAAGTCGGTGCATGTGCTGAAGGACAGTTAACTAGGAAGTATTGGCTGAGTTTCCTGGAAAATAAAGTGATCAGGGGCTGCTGTGCTGCTCAGAAATCACGAGCCAGGTCTAAGCGAGTCCTTTCAGCGCTGAGTCGCCAGGATGTGACCGTCTTCCCGAGAAGCTGAGCAGCATCCTGCCTCCAGCTGAAATCCCACTTTCCTGTCTGCTTCGCATCCCACACATTAGCTGGGGCCGAAATTCCCGTGTTTAACACTCAGGTAATGATGGGGCAGAGGCCATGTGCTCAGAAAAGTGCCTTCTTCCCGAGCCCAGGCCCCTGCTGGCCACGCCCAGGATTTAACAAGACCCGACTTGCGCCTGGCCAATCGGCAGGGCCCACAGCGGGCTCCCCTCCCCTCACTATTCTCACGGGTGGCACTCGGTTTCCGGTCGCTGCGTGGACTGGAGGCCCGGGTCGGGTTAGCTAACTCAATAAAGGACCTTCTGCTTTTGCATCGGACTGACTCCCTGGCATGGTTTCTTGGGGATCTTGAATTCTGGGCATAACAGTAAAAGGGTCCCATCCTGTTGAGTTTTTCTCATGTCTTAGCTGGCTGCGATTTCCAAAACAACACATCTTGCCCTCGCTGGTTTGGCTGAGTGGCTAGACTCAGAGCCTTGGCCTGTGGACTGAAGGGTCCCAGGTTCCGGTCAAGGGCACCCGCCCTGGTTGCCAGCTCGATCCCCACTAGGGGCCTGCAGGAAGCAAGGATCCATGGTTCTCACTCATCATTGATGATTCTCTCTCTCCCTCTCCCTTCCTTTCTGAAATCAATAAAAAAATATATTTTAAAAAACACACAAAAACAACACATCTTTATGCTGTGGCATCATCCGCACGACTAGAGCGGTAACTGCTTTGCTTTACGTTTTTAACCTGTTAAAAGTCTACGAAACAGCTAATTCCCCAAACCTGCAGGTGGAAGGAACACGCAGGAGCGCGCACTTCTCCTTCCACACCAGCCCTCCAGGAGCCGCGCCCTGGCCGATCCACCGGGCTCCGGCCCCCCAGGCAGGCGACAAAGCCGTCCCCAAGCCCAGGGCGCTCCGCAGTAGCCGGTGCCGCAAAGGCCACTGCCACGCCGCCAGCCCGGCCCGCAAAACTGCTCCGCAGGTAGGTAGGCAGCCGGACATCCCGGGCGCCGCCCGCCCGGACCCGCGCAGTGCGTCCCACGCTGGGCTCCGCCCACTCCCGGAGGCGGGCCCACCACCCGGTGAAGTCCGAGCGGCTAGCCCTTCCAGGGCCGCCCACACCGCCCCACCCACTCAAAGCCCCGCCCACATCTGCCTCACCGGCGCGACGGCCTCACGCACCGGCCCCGCCCACCCCAGGAGCGACGTGCCCCCAGCCCGGGCCCCTCCCGCCTAGGCCCCGCCCCACCGCCCTGCGCGCTGACGTCACACGCCGCCTGCGGGCGGAAGCGCGCCCCGGCGGTAGCGGAGGCGCTGTGCCCACAGAGGGGCGCTGGCGCTCGGGTGGAGGCACCTCAGCTGGGACTGGACGCGCTGGCAGCGCGGCTGGGCGGCAGACGATGGGCGACGCCGGGGGCCCGGGCCCGGTGGCCGGCGCTGCACGGGCCGAGCCGGCTGGCTCGGCGCTGAGCGTGGACGTGGTGGGGCTGTTGGCGCAGCTGGCCCGCAGCTTCGCGCTGCTGCTGCCGGTGTACGCGCTGGGCTACCTGGGCCTGAGCTTCAGCTGGGTGCTGCTGGCGCTGGCGCTGCTCGCCTGGTGCCGGCGCAGCCGCGGCCTCAAGGCCACGCGCCTGTGCCGCGCGCTGGCGCTGCTGGAAGACGAGGAGCGCACTGTGCGCCTGGGGGTGCGCGCCTGCGACCTGCCGGCCTGGGTGAGTACGGGTGCCCGAACCCGCGTCCCGCCCGACCCGCTTCCTTCTCCACCTCATTCCTGCCCTGACCCTGCTCCTACGCCCATTCCTGCCTCCGTCTGGGGTGCGCGCCTGCGACCTGCCGGCCTGGGTGAGTGCCGGCGCGGGTCCCGCCCCGGACCCAAAGCTAGACTCGGCTTCCTTGCGGGCTCTAGTGCCCGCCCGGCCCTGCCCGCCCCCTGCCGACCTGTCCGGTCAGCTGTGCGCCACGCCTCTGCACCGCTGTCACCCCACCTGCCCACGCCGGGGTGACCTGACCACCGCCTCCTCCCGGCCTGGTTGGGGCCGGTGTCTGTCCGGCTCGCTGTCCTCGCGCCCGCCGGGTATGAGCCGGCGTCCGCGCCTGTGGCCCCGCTGTCCCCATCCGCGCGGGCGACCCGCAGCCCCTCGCGGAGGCGCCTTCCCGCGCGACCTCCCGCCCGCGCCTTGGCGCGACCTCTGCCGCTGCCCCGGGTCGGGAGAGGAGCCCTCGGGGCGGCGGGGAGCGGGGTCTCCAGGAGCCCGGCCCCACCTGCGCCGGGCGGAAAGGGAGTGGCCGCGGGTGCCTCCGGAGAAGTCGGTTTTCCTTCTTCCCCTGGAGACTCATTTCTTGGGTGTTTCTGACTAACTGAAGAGCAGTGTGGGTCTCCCCAAAGTTGCTGATGTTAAGATAATGGAAAGTTAGTTCTTTTGGAAGTAGCATTGCAAGACAGCACTTCATGGAAGGTGAACTGGGTCCAGGGTGCAAGGCGGGAGTTTGGGGAGAGCTGCGCTACTGGGAAGCGGCAGGGTATCGATCGGTGTTATTTTTACCTCGGGCCATTCTCTGCATAAGCTATTTATGCAGAATGGAAACGAATGGGGTTGGTTGGCTTCCTCGTCTTTTTCTCCTGTTTCCTAATGCTTTCCTAACCGTGAGTTGGTGGCACGGTTTCAGACTTCCCGGAAATAGCATTATTTTAAGATAAGTAATGCTAACATCAGGGTTGGGGTAAACTTCGTGTGGAAATGGCCAGCCAGTGTGTCGGAAGAGTCGTTTCCTCTTGGAGGAGAAAGGGCTCGGAGACCAGGAGTGAGCCCGAGGCGGGGAGGTCGGAGCCGCGGTGCGCAGGGCCGCAGGGACAGGAGCTGCGGGAGGAGTCCCGTCGGGGCCCTGGGGCGGCGGCACGGGCGCAGCATTTTGGAGAGTCAAGTCACTAGAAGCAGGAAGGAGGGGGCGCCCTGTGGATATGCGGGACTCTCAGATGGCGTCTAGTATCTGTCACACCTCCTTAGATGATGCCAGAAAGAAGCTAAATACAGAGAGTAGGTAAATCACCCAAACCCAGGCCTAATCGGGCTGAAGTTCACAGGAACCCATGTGCTGACTTTCATAAGTATTTGGTCATCGTGCTGTTGGCTAATATCAGTTGGCTTATACAAATCCTTGGGAAATGTACACTGTTTTCACATGCGGAATGAACAAATACAGTCGCTACTACACTGGGGGCAAGACAAGTTCTGGAAGGAAGGGAGGGAGGGAGGGAGGAATTTATATTTTCTCCAAAATTTTTCACTTGTTTACTCCAAATTTGCATTTGCACTTATATCATAAACACACACACACACACACACACACACACACACACACACACACTTAAACATACCTGCATTGCTTAGAAAACTTGTGGAAAGATTCACACGGAACTTGACAGCGAACACATGCAAGAAAAGCACTTAGGAGTTTGGAATTTGAGGGGGATTTTTTTTTAAGGGAAATATTTTTTATACATTTTAAAAAATTTTACTTTTAATTATAGTTAATGTACAATTTTATACATTTTTTATTATCATATTGTTTTCATAATGAAACCAGTGGATTACATTGTCTAAAAGGATGTCTGCTATTTTGCTTTTGCTAGGGAGCAAAACAACAATAGAAGATTTCTGTATTAGTATTGATTTTTAAGTGCATGCTTGGGTTCTCGGGGTTCTGAACTTTGGGCTGGTATTTTGCTTTGAATGAGATATATTTGTGCACATTTTTTTTAATACTTTTTAAAATGTTTTTTAATTGATTTCAGACAGGAATGGAGAGGGAGAGAGATAAATATCAATGGTAAGAGAATCATTGATCTGCTGCCTCCTGAACACCCCTTACTGGGGATCCAGCCTGCAACCTGGGCATGTGCCCTGACTAGGAATCAAACTGTGAGCTCCTGGTTCATAGGTTGATGTGCAACCACTTAGCCACACCTGGTGGGCCTGTACTCATTTTCATAGTATGTCATTAATAGTTTGATTCATAGCAGGGTTGGAAGCAGAGAAAAATATGAATCGATGTGGTACCCACTTCCAACCCCGCTTTTGGCTATGTTCACTTACAGTTTTTCATTTTATTTAGTAAAATAAAGATTTACACTGGATATGAAAAATGAGATAATTACTTTAAGAAAAAGTATATATTGTTTTGAATTAAGGCTACTAGGATGTGAAAACTACCTCTCATTTAACATGTGATAATTCTGTAAGACTTTGGTCCTGCAGCTTCAGTGTAAACTGTTATTCATTCATCACTCCTTTTTTTTTTTTTTTTTTTTAAACTCACAAATGGAGAAGGCCTGGCAGGTTTGGATTGATGGGTTGAGCACTGGCCTTTTTTGTTGGACATACCAGTGTCTAACCTGTGTTGTAAAGTTAGGACTATGGGTGAAGAATATTCTTGAAGAGTTTTTGTGGAGATACATAAGAACAGTTTTACACTGGTATTTTCATTTAGTTGGAAAATTAGAACTTGGTAGGGTGCAGTCTGCCCCTTTCCTGTTTTTTTTCTGCTGCCAATAAATGCTAATTCTATGGCTGCAGGTAAGTAGAGACCCGAGCCTGTCCTGTTAGTGTTACTCAGTTGTTTTGATAGTTGGTCTCATTATCTCATACTTTGATGATGGAGATTTAATGCTCTTCTATACTATTGTGTACAAGCTCTTCCGTGGAGGGAGCTTTCTTATCTGCATTCTGTGGTGTTCAGGAGACTTGAACTCTAGCCAACACTGTATATGTATAGTCTAAGAACCAAATGAACAAAGCAAAAGAATATATTCTGGTCTCATGTCATAGAAGGACAAACATTTGCTGTTATTCTCAGTGTTAAACATTGACTTACACTTTATGGAAATTTTGTGAAGACAAAATAGTTGATGTAGCTAAATCAGGAACCAGTTTAGCTATTTTAAACTTGGTTGCAACTTTACTACTTAGATCCTAGCCCAGCCGTGGGCAAACTACGGCCCGCGGGCTGGATCCGGCCCGTTTGAAATGAATAAAACTAAAAAAAAAAAAAAGACCGTACCCTTTTATGTAATGATGTTTACTTTGAATTTATATTAGTTCACACAAACACTCCATCCGTGCTTTTGTTCCGGCCCTCCGGTCCAGTTTAAGAGCCCATTGTGGCCCTCGAGTCAGAAAGTTTGCCCACCCCTGGGCCAGAGTGATAATGTGCTTTGAGAAAAGGTTAGAGTCCCCCTCAGGCTGTGAAGGGGACACGGAGCTCTTTGGATTCTTGTTCACACACCTGCTGCTGCTGTAATTCAGAGAGGGAGTGACTGAGTGTTGCCTTGCCATGTGGTCTAAATGCTTCATTAAATTAAAAAAGAATTCCCCGCCGAAACCGGTTTGGCTCAGTGGATAGAGCGTCGGACTGAAGGGTCCCGGGTTCGATTCCGGTCAAGGGCATGTGCCTGGGTTGCGGGCACATCCCCAGTAGGAGATGTGCAGGAGGCAGCTGATCGATGTTTCTCTCTCATGGATGTTTCTAACTCTCTATCTCTCTCCCTTTCTCTCTGTAAAAAATCAATAAAATATATTTAAAAAAAAATAAAAATAAAAAAGAATTCCCCAAGGTTGCTCGACAAAAAGCAGTAAATATCTGCCTCACTTTACATTTCAAGATGGGAGAATATAGACCTAGGACTGAACTATAAATAATTTAAATAAATATGAGTTGAACACGTGTAACCTATTTATATTAAATTAACATATTGCATTAATTATCCTAATATATAAAAAGCCATGGGCCCTCACGACCGAAACAACCGGGTGGACAACCGCGGGCTGCATGGGGCGACCAGGCCGGCAGGGGGTTAGTGAGGGATGACCAAATGACTGAACAGCGGGCTGCATGGGGCGACAAGGCCGGCAGGGGGTTAGTGAGGGATGACCAAATGACTGAACAGCGGGCTGCATGGGGCGACAAGGCCGGCAGGGGGTTAGTGAGGGATGACCAAATGACTGAACAGCGGGCTGCATGGGGCGACAAGGCCGGCAGGGGGGTTAGTGAGGGATGACCAAATGACTGAACAGCGGGCTGCATGGGGCGACAAGGCCGGCAGGGGGTTAGTGAGGGATGACCAAATGACTG